ATGAGCTTCTACACTAGAGCCAGGTACCGACTAGACTCCAGTACTGCTTTTGATTATGCACATGAACTCATGAACAGTAAGCACACCATTGACTACCTTTGAGCTTCTTTTCATTTTTCTGCATAGCTAGTTAGACATTTGTATGTGGCGTTCCAGTAGTTGTGTGGAACCTGCATTGGGCGTGCAGATTCACCAAGCAGCTTACCAAAGAACTCCATGGTGATTGCGTACTTGGGTGCTCTATGTTTCGCTGGTTGCTCTAGTATATATGTTGCGCCTTATCAGGCCTTACGGATAGGTAACTTAGTCAGAGCTTTGCTGATCAGGCCTTAACTTTGCCAAGAGCAGCTAAACGATCGATAAGATAGTCCTATGCAGGCCGCTAAACACTTACCCAAGGGGAAAATGCGATTGCCTTGCCGTGCCTCCGACATTGCACTAGTGTCGTAGTTCCAGATCAAATCATATTTATGACGTGGATCTATCCTGACTGTTATCGCTTGGCTGATTTGGACAGCTACATTAAAAATGATTTGAGGGGCAAAGTGTGCTCTTCTTCTACTCATGAGATTGTCTTGTTAAGCTTTGTCTTGTGATGCAGCTTCACGACTAGTTGGTGCTACGGCGGTTTGAATGGCGTCAAGGCGATGGACCTAATTACTTTTGCTTCCTTGGAACAATTTCAAGTGAGCTTCCGTGTCTTTTGTTCTGGTTGTGTTGGAATGCTTGGTCAGGTTGGAAGGATGCGCTTTTGCTTTGTTTGTGCATGTGCCAAAACTTTAGTCCATTGCTACGAGTGGCGTGTACTGTGTGTGTAACCCCAGGAGGTATTTATGTTTTACTCGCGAATTAAGATAAGGAAGTAAGCCATGCATGAACTTGATCGGTGGTGACAAGTAAGGCACTGTTTGGTTCATAAGTCCTACGATTTTTTTTTAGTCCCAACTTATAAGTTCCAAGTCCCTAAAAGTCCCTACCTGTTTGGTTCCTGGGACTTATAAGTCCCTATAAGACCATATTACAACTATAAGTCCCTATAAGTCTCTCCTTGAGAGTCTTATTTCATAAGTCCCAAATGCCCATTTAAGTCCCTGTAAGTCCCTCCTGTTTGATTTAGATGGGACTTATAGGGACTTTTTTAAGTCCCTAGACCAATAAGTCCCTGGAAACAAACACTCTCTAACTTATGAGCTTAGACTTCAGTACTAGCTAAATTGTAAAGTTGAGTATTGGAGTAGCAACTTCACAACCTCTGCTCTAGACATTCATCAATATACAACAGAAGTAGAGTGGATGCGGCCTATTCCTCGTTAAAGAAGACAACATGGTTTGGATGGTGTTGAGACAAGAAAAGGAGGGACCGTTTACAAACGAAAAATTTCCCTCGTTGATGATCAATTCCTTTGGCTATCACCATGAACAACCACCTTCAACGGGAGGACGGGGCGTCGACCCGTTGGCTGGGCAGCTGAGGTTGCTGCCGGCCCACCCGAGTTCAAGTCCCAGCTTGGACGCGTGGTGCTCGCGGAGTTTCTCCTATAAATAAATGCCAACGAGGGTTAGCCCTTGGGTTGGTCTCATTTTTTTTCCTAAGAAGTTCAGGTACTTCAAATAGTTTGTTCGTTGTATTCTAAAGTCAACAGTGTTGCCATAACCCATGATTTTTTTCTGGGACTATTGTTACATAGATCAATAGACATATATAACAACATCATAATTTTTAAATTTTCCCACATTTTTTCTAATTTAATTCGTTGCTTGAGAAAGAAAGAAAGGCGAGTCCGTGGATTATCGGGTTAAATTCACCGCCTCATGCAACCCTAAATTTGCAACCGAATTATCTCTTCTTTTAATTTGTGGGGTTGTCAAATCCAACTTAACTTTTTACATGGCAGACATACGTTTGTGCTTAAAAAGTTCACGTACTTCAAATA